ATGAAATATTACTGTTTATTATCATGTCATTATAACGTCCACCGACCCTATTATCTCATTTATCTTTTGGCTGTTGTGGCCAACAAAGTGGAATTTCGTTCTCGACCAATCAGCGCTTTTTTTACAGTTTTGCTCTAAGCCAATCAGAATGCGTAAAACGAGTCATCACATGCAATGTGTAAACGAACATTTGGATATCATATGGGCATGGTGTGTATATATCCTGTATTCGTAAATGAATTTACTGTGTTATGGGGGTAACTTCAGAGCTTTGCTGCAAGCGGTTTTTTGTTTTTTGCTATGAAATTGATATATGTTGTTCTTAAAGAATCACAGCCAACCGTGATGCTTTGCGTGCTGCAATGTTTTAATTGTTTTGTATTCCGCCATTTTATTAGCCACTTTATTGGGATTTTAGTACATCCCGGGCGTTGTTTGTCAGTGCCCGCGATCACAACTATATCATTATCAGTGGTACATGATGATAACATTGAGTGTTTAATAATAATAAAATAATAATAATAATGGTTTAATAGCATTTCCACATTGTGGCTATTCTATGAAATCATGATGTTTGAAAGAAAACATCTTAAAAGCCAAATATAATTGATTTAATACTCGACGTGAATTTATAACTTTGTTAAACTGTGACGGTTTATCGGCATGTTAATCTATATTTCAAGATATTTTGGGGGTTACATACTTTTATGTTTTTACTACTAATTTCACAGACTTTATATGAGCTCGTAACATTTATTGCAGCCCAAATAAAATACATAGCAATATAAAAACTTTTGTTTGCGGTGGCTTTCACAAACCTAGTCGTTAGCGCATACGGTAAAGGCGCTGCGTACGAAAAGTGAAACGCAGTCGGGATCGATGCTGAATGCAATCTCGTTCCCCGAGCATGCCCGTTCGCAGGTTAAGGGTGGGCATAGCTCTGGAGAAATCGAATTGATTCAGGCCTGTGATTGGCTAACGGCAGATAGTACGTTGGATTTCCAATGTGAATTCTATATAAACAGAGTATTTGGAATTTCTCGTCGAAAATTTGATACTTTTTACACTGAAATCGATTGAAAACAACTAGAAATTCTGGAGGAAATATGTACGAAAGCTTCAGATTGATAGGGATACAACTACCTGAAAAATACAAGGAGAACTTCGACGTTTCGAGCGAAGGCGCTTCGACTTGTGCTGTTAGTGTTTGTATACATCGTACTTGACCTTTTATATACTGTCATACCTAACACTACGTATACCATAAATTCTGACAGGAGAGTTAAATGTAAATTTAAAAGCATAAAAATATATAATACTTATTATTGAGGAGATTATATTTATCAGCAAAGGTCAAGTACGATGTATACAAACACTAACAGTACAGATGATACAGATCGAAGCGCCTTCGCTCGAAACGTCGAAGTTCTCCTTGTATTTTTCAGGTAGCTGTATCCCTATCCAACCGAAGCTTTCGTACATATCTCCCCCAGAATTTTTAGTTGTTTTCAATTCGATTTCAGTGTAAAATGTATCAAATTTTCGACGCGAAATTCTAAATACTTTATTTATATTTTGCAACATTGCCGAGCATGCGTAGAACTCACGTTGGAAATTCAACGTGAATCAATTCGGTTTCTCCAGAGCTATGCCCACCCTTAACCTGCGAACGGGCATGCTCGGGGAACGAGATTGTGCTGAATGTTTATTGTCTGATTTAGCTTTTTTTCTCATGTTTTTTAAAATTTCATTTTTTTCTGCCTTTTTTAACTCTTAAAAGTTAGGCCGGTTTGGGATCGGTATAAAATCTAAAGTGCTTTAATTTAAAAAAGTTTTAATAATTTGTTTATCTGTTTGAATATTGAATTGCAAACTCAACCGCTGATCATCCTAATTGTGATCGCCAGCACTGACAAAAAACGCCCGAGATGTAGTAAAATCCATAGAGATTATAAATAACAGTGTTATACATAATCTCTATGGTAAAATCCACAATAGTCTTGCGACCTTTCTGTCATATGACTCGTATCGACTAAACAAGGGCTTTTCGCGTGTTCATGAATGTGTTTTACGATACTTTTATTTGTCTTTTACCGCGTACAGGTAAGCATGTCTTTCAGACGATGCCAATGGTCAAATATATTTCTTGCCGATCAAGATGAACGGCAACGTTGCTTCTTCGCCGATCAAAAACAATTTCCTGCTGATCATTGATCGATGGTCGGTCGTTTTTTCGAGCGCTGAATTCCTATAAGGTTACAGAACACCTTTGAGTGTTAATTTTGCCTAAATTTTTTTTATTGATTTCCACGAAAGCATGCATTAGACCAGTTCTACTATCTGACCAAGTTTGAACGAAAAACGTTGAAATATTTAATAAAATACATTTCGCTGCAATAAGAAAAACATTGGGATAATGTACTATTCAAATTCAGTTTTCTCACGAAGAATTTTACGGCAATTGCTGATTTTCAAACGAGTTGTTGGTGTTGAGTGTGTGGTATGTGTGGGTGTGTGTGGGGGAAGGGGCGAGGAACTAGGGATATAGAAACATATTAATGTAACTTCTAATGTAATTTGAAAGAGATAGATTCCTACCGCACACTATGGAGGCGGCATTTACACTATGGAGGCGGCATCTATGCAGTAATCCCCTTAGTTTTACACTGGCGAATTCAGAAGGAATAAGAGGTCACTGGTATAACAAGTTTTTTATCCAAATAGATAAAGTGATACAACTACCCTAAGTAATGGGTAAACACTGAAGATTTTGTTGCCATCTTACGCGAACGAATAATAGTTAAAGGGTCTTGTAGATGGGAATTATCGTGTGAGATGCTAACAAAATCTTGATATTTACCCATACCTAATTTTAAGAATTTTTTATCACGGCACATTTTTGTGGAAGTTTTACCTCAGCAGAACCACGCCTTAAATTCTTCTGAACCACCTGCATTCTAGAAGGGATACAAATGTGACTCCCACACGCACTCATGGGCTAACTACAAAGAAACTCGGAATAAAATCACTACAGAAATGTACAGGACAAAGCCAAATAAAATGTTTTCTATGAAAAAATCAAAGCTTGTACCAAAACCCTATAAACAAAAATGGAAGTTAATTTTAATGAACTCCTAAGCAAAATAATAGGCAATATTTCCAACTAAAATTGGCGATATTATTATTTCTAACGATATAAAGGTTGCATCGTGAGTATTGGGGCAAAAATAGCCTCTGAAATTAAGAAGCCAGGGCTTCGAGTTTGTCAGAAAATTTCATTTCTAGGTCAGATATTCAATTTAAATTTTCCGAAATTAGCGTACATGAAATATTTTTAATTTCTTCAGTTACATAAACTTAAAACATCAAGATCGACAGGTATTGATAACATTCCGAGCTAGCCTCCTCCGCAGGCATCTCGTGTTCACTTACTTTGCAAAGTTGTTTGCTTTCAAGCAAATTTTGCCCGATAATCTAAAGGCGATGCCTGCGGAGGAGGCTAATTCCGAGCAAGGGCACTTAAAATTACAGCCTAAATAATTAGTCCATCCTTAACATGGATATTTAGCCTCTCGGTTAAAACTAGAGTTTATGTAGAAGAATGGAAAAAGGCATGCATGGGTATTGCCGATTTTTAAATCTGAGGACAGGCAAAAATGTGAAATTTACCGCCCAATTTCAATTTGACCAATTGCATGGTAGTAAAATCTTTGAACGTTCTGTTTTAAACTAATTGTATGAAATTACCACCCGAAGAACTCCACCATGACTAGCCTGCGAACAGGCTCTCAAGCTGAATTGAGAGCCTGCATCGATGACTAATGAATTTGAATATCTGCCCCGTAACGTTCGTTTTTCCAAATATGGAATGTCTATCCTTATATGGTGTTGTTTACAACTTTCGTGCAAACTAAATTTAGATCGTGCAAACTAAATTTAGACCGTACAGTTTATACTGTTTTTCGAAATATAAGATATTCAAGCAAAAGTTTAAATGTTTTAAATACTGTTTTCTCAAAACAGAACATTTCGTGCTTTGTGGTAAGATGGCCAAGACCAATTTGATCAGTTAATGTGTTTTTTATGCATAGTGCTTCAGCAGTTGACATATATAGAGCTCAGCGGAAACGTATAAATTATAGCATCTGACCAATGAGAATTTCGCGTCACGATTTGAGACGCAGATATTCAAATTCATTAGTCATCGATGCAGGCTCTCAATTCAGCTTGAGAGCCTGTTCGCAGGCTACACCATGACGTACTGCACTTATTCAGATATTTGATGCATGGTACGCAAGTATGGATAACGGCGACTTGAACGATGTGGTTGTTTTTATATTCGGAAAGCCTTTGATTCAATTGGCTATAATATCTTGTTACGCAAAACGAAAGATCATTTTGTAGGAGTTTCAAATATTGAATGAAAGTGGTTTGAATCCTACATTTCTGATAGGGAACAAGTGTGTTTTGTCAATGGCACGACGACAACATTCAAAAAGATACTTTGTGGAGTCTCTCAGGGATCCGTCTTAGGGCCATTATTGTTTTTACTTTGCATTAATGATATTTCCGATAGTCTTGAAATCTACTAGATATTTTCATCCACTATAAGGATTCTGCGGAATTACTTGATTTCAACTTAAATAGCAATTTGAGTAAAATTAGCCAATGGCTAACAAGTGATAAATTCAAATAATAATAATAACAACATTTAATATCCATCTTTGTTTTAAAAATTGTAATGGATTTACAAGAAGTGCTAACTAAGGTTAAAATTGAAAAGAAGAAATTTACTATTATTTACATCAATGTTGCTAAAAATGTTTATACTAGTTATTCCATAAAATTAATTTAGGACTGTTTTAAAAGAGGTATGGCTATAGGTATAAAGGATTGCCGGTGTCTTTTAGTATACGAAACAACATATGGTAGATTATTTGTTCTTAGATCGTGTTCATGGGTAAAAGGTTAGGTTAGGGGATAAGTTTATTACATGGGTTGGTCGGATCACTTAGAATTCTTTGGTATTCCTTAACAGTTAGGTGTGCCCTTCTTTGTTCTAACGTTTCAAAGTTGCACCGAGATGTGCCGAGGATTTTGATGCATCTGTTTTGAATGCTCTCTATTTCATCAGTGAGATATTGTGGTAAACCACCCCATATCGGAGCTGCATACTCTAAAACGGGTCTAATCTTGGATTCATAACATGCAATACCGAACTCAGGAGGAAGGTTCGCTCTACGGCATTCTCTCAGACTAAACACTCGTACGGCATCATTATATTCAACCAAAACCAAATTAATGAACGTTGGTTCAAAACAAAATCTTCATAAGATAAACGATGATATTCCTGTAATATTAAATAGCCAACTGATTCCCTGCAGAATATATTCAATCTCTTGTTTGGGCTTCCACTTTATGAAACACTAAGTTTAATCTGCGAACCCAGACGTCATTCTCACGCTCATTCTTTGCTCGGAAAGTAACGTCTGCGAACTAGGCTTCTACAGATTATGCTACAAAAATGCTGAAAGTGTGCTCTAAAAATGCCCAAAAGTTGCTCAAAAGTTGCTCGAAAATTGAATAAGTTGCTCAAAAGTTGCTCGAAAATTGAATAAGTTGCTCAAAAGTGGCTCGAAAATTGAAAGAAAGTTGCTCCTAAAATGTCAGAAGTTTCTCGTAAACGAGTGAGTGCAAAGCAAGATATGACCGTATATTAAACTCTGTAGATAAATACAATAATAACAGTTCATAACTAACTATAGTTCAAAACTATATAACTATATATATATATATATACTTATAACAACTTATTAGCTAAAAAGCTATCAAATCAGTTTGAGATGTTTCACAGTACATTTTACTTCCTCTGACTATTATATTATATCTGCTGTCTGCCATAGGATCTCCCAAACTGTAGAGTGAAGAAGTAATGGTAAGCTAAAAAGTTTGACAAATGGCCAAGGATAAGGAAAATACTTTGGAGCCTTGTCGTGCTATTCTTTCATATGACCAAGAAAAAGAGCTTGAAGAGAATATGGACCAAGGGATTCAAGGCTATCAAGCATTTCATTATCTTTCTATAAATAAAATTAGCAACATGGTCTATATTGCCAGAAATTTCCAAAAATTATGCATTTCCTGGAGGAAGTTGCTTGAAGTTGCTGATATCATAAAAAGTGGCTCCAAATGCAAAAAGTTGCCAAAAAGTTGCCGAGCATAATCTGTAGAAGCCTTCTGCGAACCCGAGCTGGATTTCGATTTCCGTGACGTATGTCTATTGTCTTATGTTAGCCGATTTTGTCGATTGGTTGCTAGTAGAAGACTTACGACAGAATGAATCTTAAATAACCTTAAACTAGGGGAATAAATGTTCATATCAAAGACAAAGACCAGTGCCAAGGTATAAAATCTGCTCTGTAAACGTACGACGAAGTGGAGAAATGTGTGCATAAGCTGTTTATTTGGTGATTTCAACGTATATGGCAGCCCTCTTTCCAATAATATTCGCTTACCGCACAGAATAACACCAACTGATAGAATGGTTCAAATGCAATGATGAGTTATACCTCTTGAATTACATCTCAGAAACTGTGTTGGAAATGGAAATGCTGACCCATTCCATAAGATTACTGTTTTACATCGTTGTATAAAACATTTTGATTGCATGTAAGGAATTATTTCTCATCCCAGAGATATAACCCAACAACTTAACATTGACGCCCTTGTGATTTTATAGAGATACAGCCAGAACTGAGGATTTTACCAAGCGATATCGGTACCTTCCCAAAGTTGTAGACAAGATATGTTGTTTATGTCCAACACGCTTAAAATTGCATAACTCAAAATAATTCGAGCAAAACCGGTCTTTTGTTCAATGTAGAGACTGGTTCATAGGAATTAGTCATTTTGAGTTATGCAATCGTGTGTTTTCATCCATCCGTGTCGTTGAACAATGAAAAAATTTGTTGTGAAATTAGCGAAGATAAAATAGCAGTTTGTGAGAAAACTGCGGGTCTACGGTGCGGAAAGTTTGCGGATTTGAGCTCAGCGTGTTCGAAAGTGTTAGTTCACATAACAATATTTCAGTTCCAAGACATGCTTAATGAAAATCGTTTTCTAGGCACTTTTCGAGGTCACAGCAAACGGCCTATTTGTCAAAAGTATGCATATCGTACAAACCATACGTCCGAATACGCACAAAATTTTTAAGCATGCTTAAGAAAGTTTCTGCCTCGCCGTATGCCAGCGTACGCCACCGTATGCGACCATGCTTGAAACGTATACAACCTATGCCAAACGTACCCCTAGCGCATGTCAGCGTATGAGTGATATTTATCGTACGCTGGAATACGCTAGTGCGATACACAATAGTGTGACAGGGCCTTAATGGGAAAGCATGCAATTTTATAAGGAAAAAAAATAGTATGGATTCGAGTGCAATTTGGAAAAAACATGCACCAGTGAGTTTTTCAAAGACGATCAAAATTGAACGAGTCCAAATGACGAGTGCAATTTGGCGTCTTTGAAAAACTTACGAGTGTATGTTAAAAAATAATTGCACTGCTCTTAGCCAATCAGAATTGAGTAATTTTTTCATCTATAATTGATGAGTTTTTCAAAGACCATCGAATAGTCGATATAGCACGAGTCCGAAGGACGAGTGCTATTTGATGTCTTGAACAAACTCACGGGTGCTTTTCACGAGAACCATGTAACCGTGTAACAACAATGGAAGGGCCTAATAAATAATAGATACTTGCACTGTTGTTAGTGAAATTTGCACTGGTGTTTCAGATTAATTGCACTGAATTCAACCAATCACAGTCCAGTAATATTTTAATGTGTATTATTAGCTGTTTAACATATACTGTATGCTGTACGTTTTCAGTTTGATTTTATTTTAATATACTTGTTCTACTACACCATTCTCAATCATCAGCCATTAACTAAATTATAAGAATGATTTTTCAATCTTAACTAAAACCCCAGTTATATATTTAACCCCTATAATAAAAAAAATATGTTACCACGCAATTTCTCAAAACTACCAACAACGATAAACTTAAAGATCAGTATCATGGTTTTACTGAATTAATGGTTATATTTATGGTATTACTGCGTATTCGCATGGTATTGATTCCACAGTCCATGATTATATATTTTGTACTTTATAAAGAAGATGAGAATACATGTGGGTATATCCAAGTATGCATTGTCCGTTATCCAATTCCATTTTTCATCTTTGATGATATGCCGTCTCGGGAAGCTGCATGGTAAAAAGAAATGCAAAATAGTTCGTAAGCGTCGTAAGCGGTGTGCAAGACTATGTATTTGTCCAATACGTGTTCGTGTATCTTACACACAATTTTCGTGTAAATTCCACAATATGAAAAAACGTGTATTTCGTCGTTATCGTAATAATATCCTTCATATACTCTTCGTTTTACTTTCAGTTTCATTATAATTTATTATTTGAAAGACATTTTATCATTGTTAAAATCAGCCCACAATTTAATGATAGGCCTACGGATATTTATAGCACATTTTAAAGCTTTTTTTGTCAAACGACTCTTACAATCACATAAGAAAAGTAGAGTCATTGAAAACTTACCAAGTGCATGTTTAATAGAAATATCTCATGTTTTTATCATCCGCTGGAGATAACATACGCTTTGATGATCGACATCCCAAGTGACACGATTTATTCTTTTTCTCACACACACTGACTCTGCAGTGAACACGTGTGTTGTAATGATGTAAGCCACGGAAACGAAACACCAGGAAGCTAAATCTTGTAGTGTCTCCTGATGATTTATGAAATTTTACGGTTTTGTCCTTTTTGCATCTACATCGAAATCCATGAAACAAAATTAAGATAGGCCAATTTTCAGTAATATATGCAAAGTATATTATTAAGTATACCAATGATCCTATATACATATGGGTATACATGCAATTCTTTGCAAATCGCGACATCTTTCGTGCGTTTTTTTTTGGTTTTTTTCCTTGTGTTTGTCGTCAGGTTTGTTAATATGAAACAGTTGACAACAATTTATAGTTAAAAGAGAATGGATTTTCAAGGATACATGCATACAGTACATTGATGATGTGACGAAATATGACTAAACATGGACAGATTTTACAAAAACGAAACACTGCGCTGTAGATATACAGCTATAGTTCTTCATCTTGACAACCGTGACTAATTTCCAGATTCCTAATTACGATCGTTTTCAAAATTTGCGCGACCTGCCCAAAAATAATCTTAGTTGAAATGTAGGTCTTATGACACAGGAACCGATCAAAATAGTAAATGTAAACAACAGGCATTAATAACAGTTTTTGATACCTAATTAAAGGAGAACATTGAACCAAAACCAGCTATAGATATATACACTAAAAGAAACAAATCATCACATACGAAATAATTATGTGTCGTGAATGACTTTAATTTAAAGTTTGAAAAATTTAACCTTAAATTTAATTGTGTATCAAACAAACCACCTTGCCTTAAAGGGAATATTTTTATTTAATATTTCAAACCACAAAAGTGACAGTTGTGAACAATTTAATTTAGTTGAACTTCATGAGCATGTGCATAAAACTGACATGTCAACCATAGCTATTTCGGTTATGCCGCGTAATTTTGAAAGCGGGTGCAATAAATATTGCAACTATATTTAAACTAAATTGTAACCAACTGCTTCCATGCAAATACATTTTTGGCAACCAAGAGCTACAATCTTGGACAAAACCCTTGAGACCATTCCAGCTAATATTACAAAGTTATTGAACATTGATAAAACAAACTTTGTCTCCCCCTCCCCCCCAGTTCAATATTGTGAACAACGCCGAAACAACTTTTGGTAATATACCATGATACAAGCTCAACATTGAGTTGGGGGAGTGGGGGTTTAAGAATGGCAACATGATTCTACATGGAGTTTATCATAAAAATACGCGAATTTTCTATAGGGGGAAAATAGTCTCAACCAGTTATGTCCAAGGTTGTAGGTGCCCATGCGTCAGGAATTTAAAGGCCATGTTACACGGTGCAATTTTTCTTGCAACCTGCGATGCAATGGCTTGCGTTGCAAGTTGCAAAGCAGATTGCATCTAACACGTCTTGAATTAAAAAATTGCATTGCAAGTTGCATGGAAAGTTGGACCGGCTCTGTCACAGGAGATTCGCCTCCCTCAGAAGATTCGCCCCCCTCTCAAAAGGGGGGCGATATTCCTAGGATATTCGCCCCCAGGGGGGCGAATCTCCTAGGAATATCGCCCCCCTTTAGGAATTTCGCCCCCCCCCCCATATAAATTTTGAATTTTTGATCTAAAAACAAAACGATCATGTTGTCGTATTCTTCTGGCAGTTTACATTCACATAACATATTATAAAAACAATTGCTTGCAAATTTTATCAATACGAGTGTTAACAATAGCCGCCACAGTAATCACTTGCTAACAACAAACTATAGGATTAGTAAAAAATCAATGGAATGTGTTGAGAAGCGTATTGACTATTGTCCGTTGAATCGTCAACTTTCCGTGTCAGTGATGTAATCTTGATTCTTCACTTCCGCAAAGAAAATTGCATTATATATGTGGTGTGGTTTATTCAAATAATTTCATGATTCTTTGATTTTATTAGTGCATGCCTTGAACATTTGAGAATGTAACTCTGCAAAACTGAAAGCTTTCTTGTCTTTTTTGAAACGTATATTATTGGATTATTGCCTATTGGCAAGTTCTACCCTTCGCTTCTGAGATTTACAAACTATATTGAAATAATGCAAGTAAAAAAAGTGACAAACCATACATTTTCCGATAACGACAAAACGTGGATGCAAAACAATACCAATAATTACAATAACCACCACGGTGATTACTTTTTAACAATGAGTTTAAGGATTAACACTGAAAATGCAAAATATGCATGTGTGCTGTGAAGCATCATAAGTCCTATTGAGTATTGATCTACTGTAACTTTGTAAAACCATTTCGATACATGTAATTGTAAATTTGTATTCTTACATGCAGGGCTTGAATTGATCGGCAGTCGTGACTTTCCCTGCTTTTTTCAGGTTGGAAACCGAAACCCTGCTTTTCCGCCGATCATAAGCAATTCCTTGCCGATCGGTGATCGGTTGTTATTTCAAGCTCTGTCTTAACAATTTTGAATTGATACTGATTTCAAATGATTAAAGCCATGTAATAATTATCCCATGCAACTGTTAGGAAGGGCGAAATTTTGAACGGAGGACGAAAATCCTAAAGAAAAGGTGGAGTTTCTAAAGGGGGGCGAATTTCCTAAAGGGGGGCGAAATTCCTAGGATTTTCGCCCCCCTAGGCGGGCGATATTCCTAGGAATTTCGCCCCCCGGGGGGCGAAAATGTAGGGGGGGGGCGAAAATCCTGGGGCACCGGCTTCTACTTTTTGCAATGCTGCGAGACAAGTTGCAGCGTCTAACATCCCCATCTGCAACTTGTCTCGCAATACTTAAGAAATTAGCCAATCAGAAAGCTTCATAGCCTGCAATCAGGATGAGTTTTTGGCAATTCAAAATGGCGGACTTATTGTTGAGCTTCGATCAAACCATGAACGAAGAAGAAGAATAAAATTAAAGTGAACCGGCAAATGACCTGGCGAAGACGACAAAATTAACAGATTTTGACAAAATTGCCATTTTGGAGGAAATGGAAAATTGTCCTTGCCTATGGAAGAGCGGTGAGAGTTGGGCAAAGAAAGGAAAAGAAGAATTAATGCTGGCGCGAGATTGCAGGTCGCAAAACAAGTTGCACTCTCGTCTGACATTACACTGCAACTTGCAATATTTATTTTTCAAAATAATGCATTGCAGGTTGCAAGAAAAATTGCACCGTGTAACATGGCCTTAAGCGCTGATGCCTATAACCTAAGTTTTGGAATGTTTATTTAATTCGACGTTTACATGGTTTAGAACATCATTATATTCTTCTAATACTGAAAATTCATACGGGTTTTTAAATATATTTAAAAAAACATTAATAATTCATGAGGAAAATACAAAAGAAATGAACGTTTAATCAATGAATGCTTGTAAATCGGATAAAGATTTGTCCTGATTTACCGGCATAAACTTCAGCTTTGATTTTGTCGGCTTAGGGCCTGTTTATATGGAGGCCGGGCTGGCCCGCTTAGCGAGACAGCCCGGTAAGCGAGATGAATTTCTCTTGTGTTTATATGAGAAAATTTCATTCGCTTGCTGGGACAATTTTGTTACATTGTATTGTTTTGACAGTTGTTAAAAATAGCTTGCGGCGGTATCTTTGAACCTTCATCCGGACTAGTCCGCTTGTGAGTGTTTATATGGAGAAATTTCCATCCCGGTAGGCGAGATCTCGCCTTTTTCAAGCGAGATCTCGGCAACCGGGCCAGCCCGTTTGTCCATATAAACGCACGATAATTTCTACTATAAAAATAACTACACAGCGAGATCTCGCTTACCTGGCATGTCTCGCTTAGCGCCAGCCCGGCTTCCATATAAACATGCCCTCAGACAATGTTTATTTTCAAAATTACTTCGCGCGCCAATGAAGTCATTCTTCTGCTCGTGTTTGTATATCAGATAAAGATCGGCTGCTAATGTTTTAACATATAGATTATTCCTAGATTTTTTCAGTCTTAAAAGGGGGCCAGGAGCTTCACTTTGTGAAGAAAGGGCATAGTTCATAGGAAACATGTCCCCGTGTGGAGATTTTAGAGCGGCCAAATTTCCTGGGAAATCGGCACTATATGTGTAATACACTTGCACAGTTCCATTGTTAAAACAGAGAAACATTGTTGGGTTTTTTTTCCAGAAATTCTACCATTGTTCTAGCTAATCTTGTTAATTGACTTACCCGCGTTCAATCAAGAGATATTTAAATTCATCCAAGTGACTCTTTGAAGTGACGTAACATTCGTTTAACTTTATTCCAAATGATGACTTCTCCGAACTCGAGTTTGTCGCGTTCGGTCCAATTTCAACATAAAGACGTTCGTTCAGTGATGGATCTCCAACAAGTGGTTTACTAAATGACTGGTCTTTGTAAAGTCCCATTTTTACCGACATGTTACCTTTTCCACTGGCATCGCTTGGAGAGACGGAAAAATTGGCGAGACCAAACGTTGCGGATGAGAGAAGATAACTTCGAGGGTAATTACATTTGATGGGAAAATTGATTTCTTTAGATCTTGAAATCGATTTACCAAATCCTGGTAATCTTTCAACAACTCTGTTATGAAATGAAACTGTTTTGCCGTTATTTTTTGTTGTCATAGTTGTACCACATGCAGTGAGTGAAGTGGTGAAGACGTAATAGGTCTTTGTCTCTGAGGTTTGCACGAACTCTCGAGTAGTTGTAATTGTAAGACTGAAGAAACATTGAGAAATGATTTCGGAATAAATATCTTCATTTTGTTCTCGTCACAAATCAATTTATCTATTGGAAGACAAGATACGTGTTAGTAGATTCTGTGGTAGATTATAGAACACAGTATACATAATGATAATTGAACTGAGTGGACTGAAATTTGGACTGAAATATCAAAAGCGTGATTACAAAATCGCACGACCGCGATGAAGGAGTGCGATTTGTAATCACAAGTTTGATTTCATTCCAAAATTGCACGGCACGAAATTCAATTTCCACTTTATTATATTCATTTTTAAATCTTAAATATTTTTGTAAACCGGAAACGTTTTTGTTTGCAAAAGACACACCTCCGGTACCTCCCTGAGGGCTGTAGCATAGCAACAATAAGCAAGCAAGATGTTTGTTTATAATACGTTCAAAACACTACAAAAATGTTTAAGAAATTAAGACATTTATAAAGAATAAGAGACAACACAAGTATTAGTTTAAACATATTGTAGGTTTTACGACGTGATTTGAAAGAGTTTTTGTTCAGTTTTGTGCGTTTAAAATTGGAAATACGGTAGGCGAGTTTATCTTTGTTCTCCCTGACTCTTTAAAGTTGCTTTTGTTGGCATTTTTGCCTGTTGTACTATTTGTGAAATTGCAAAAAATTTAAAATTCTTTGCAATTCTTTGATAGTTTACTGTACCTATCCATATTTTTTTGCTTTTATGTGCAAAAAATTGCTTAGGCACTCAAGAGTCAAGAGTATAAATCATGACATAGGTAAATTTTTGGTTCTTGCTCATTTGCCATCATATAACATTTTCCTTAAAATGGATTGGCTGTTTGAATCCTATGATTAAATATAATTGGTTGGCTGAAGTCACCACTCTAATGTGATCGGTTGAAAGAAGATGCGATTTCAGCCCGAATCGCACTGCTAGGAGTGCGAGTTACTCGCCCAGGCGGGATAAACAAGCGCTCTGTTTATATGAAACCGGGTTACTCGGCATTTGTCGCATGGTTGCCGCATGACGCCGAAATGGCGGATGAATATTTTCCACGTAGGCCTAAACACTTTGCCCGGGTAACTCGGCCGCCCGAGTAGAATGTATTTGCTCTGCATTTGAAATATAATAGCTCAAAAATACATACGAATCGATAGATAAGTTTTCGTGAATTGCTCGGCGCTTATTAAACAGTCACCCGGGATTACTATAAGTTTCTATAATAGCCGGGAACTCGCCTTTGCCTAGTAACTCGCCTTGCCGGGTAACTCGCCTCCATGTAAACAGGCCCTTACACGCCAAAAACGTTTTAAAACTATACTGTCTATAGTGAGTGCAAATCAAAGATGTGTTGTCGAATATACGAAATAGGCCTATACAAATACCGAAAATTTGAAGCGTAGCCTAAACGGCTGCGAAACGTTATTAAAATACTATCTAAAGGCCTATTTACACTTGCAATATTCACTGCGATTTCTACGGCGATTTTTTGAAATCTCCAATGTAAACACCCTGCGATTTTGACTGCAACTTTGGTGCGACAACACTGCAATTTGCAGCGATTTTTCCATTTTACCGGCTTGTATATCGAGTTAAATTTTCAATACTTCATTCAAGTTTACAAGCAATACAAACATTTTGTTCTAATTAGGTTGTTTACTGTTGTTTTCTGACTAGTGATTGGCTGAGACTGAGTGCCCGGCACTGGTGCCCAATGTTCAAAATGGTTCACAAAACATGTTGAGCACAGTGCCGTTGTTGAGTACTACCTCTAGAGGTAGTTCCCGTTCTTGGGCACTGTGCCCAATTTCATTTGAAAGCGTCATGTTCAAACTGGGAGCCAAAACAAGTGCCGGGCACCAGTGCCGGGCACCCAGTCTGGACGCAGCCTTAGTTTATTCTATAAAAATACAGCGTATAAAAGCCAAGACTTTAATATGAGTTATGTCATGCAAAGTGGGTCTGAAACTTTCTGTATTGAACTACCACTCGCATACAAATGAATAGAAACACTTTTTGTTCTAAAGTTACTACAAAGACAAAGACCAAAGTGAACGCGGTAAATATATTGATAGTATTCAGTATTGCAGTAGTTTGTTGTACTTCGTTTTTTATTTCATATGTCATGTTAGTTAACTGCATTTATAATTATATAGTAAGCTAGATTTATCTGTGCAATTATTGCTTTTAAAAACAGCGTGAAGGTGAAGAATTGTAATTATTTAATGTAAGTTTATGTTGCTTGGCTTCGATATTAAAGCCTTTATTAAAGGTGACAATGCCTGCCGTTGAGGGGTAGCACGGTCATAGCTTTTGAAAAACCGCATGCAGCGAGTTGCGATAAATTTCGATCACGATCAAAATATTTGCAGCTTGTTGCAGTGAAGTTGCACTGGAAGTGTGTTTACATTGGCGATTTTACGTCGCCATCACGTCAGCAGAAAAAATCGCACTTAAAATCGCAGCAAAAATTGCAAGTGTAAACAGGCCTTAAAATATAGTGCAATATAGTAGTACTATTAGACTTAATATGAAATCCGATACTCGATAGTATTTTCCGTTTGTATTTGTACGCGTACTATAAAAGCAGCGCGTAATTCAACAGATTCCACTTGTTATATTCTTGCTTATGCTTTAGTGAATATTTATACCTCCATAAACATAAAACATTCACACGCAAGTGTTCAATGAGACGCACATGTTTAATATATGTCACCAGTGATTACCCTTTAACCCCTGGTCTTGGCTCGCTGCATGCACGCATGCGAGTAATAATTGTGCTTTATCAGTAATTTGTACTATATAGTTCTATTTACTCTTAATTCCGCAGCAATCCATACGCATACGGTACGCTTGTTGAGTTACTAAACTTTGTTTGTCCACTCTGAACTCTCGAGAACTGAGAGAACACGTGCTCGAATGGAATTCGTTCATATAGCCGCGCGTTGCATGTTGGTAAAATGACTTTCAACCAACATGCTTTGCGGCTCTAGCAAAATTGAGATTTTGAGTAGCTGTACGATTTTAGTCTGCTGCCTTGCTCGCTCGCTGCGGCAGCAATTAAATTATGCCAAGTTGCTTACAAAAGAATTAAGAACTCTTGACAAAATGAAGTTGAATTTTAAAGAAAGCGATTTTCTCTTGCATAAAAGAAATAATCGCGCAGTAAATAATAATTGTGCAATTAATGATTAATACTAGGGTACCTGCAAGGTAGGGATTGCTGCGGGCATTAAAAGCAAATAGAACCACAGGCGGTCCAATCTCAGAATGAATGATCAGGTCATAAAATAAGAAATGAATAGAAGGGCAACTCGCGTGCACAAAACGTAACCAATTTTCAGTGCGCACGCGCGGGATTCTCAAGCTCGCAGCCAGTGAAAGCCAGTCAGTGCAATAGGGATTTGTATTACGAAATGTACATTTTGATCACAAAATCGACTATTTTTCGGAAACAAAGGATTGGAATATCAAACTACTACAACTGCCTGCAGAGGCAATATAAGCTTAAATTATTATTGTGGTTAGCATAGAAAGAAACGAATATTTAGGGAGAAATTTGATATTGTTGTGTGAGCTGAATGAAATGCTGACAGTCGATCGCGTATACTGTGTTATTTATTTCGATTTTCGAGGTTTATGCTATGGGTTTATGTCAAATCTTATCAGTACAGGTTTTGGATTGCATCAAATTTATTTAAAAAAGTATAAATTTCAAAGTCACGAGCAATTAATCAAATTTATTTCGTGCGGGAAGTTGTCTGTCTGTGTCTGACATGTTGAACTACAAATACAAACTAGGTTACCTAAAATGTAGTAAATGCTGCCTTTAAGAAGCACACGTCATGAACGTTTTAAAATACTGTTTGTAGTGATTGCAAATCAAAGATGTGTTATCGCATATACGAAATATACATGCAAATACAAAATTTGAAGCGTAGCCTATAAAACTGCGAAACGCATTAAAATACTATCTAAAATATAGTGAAATATAGCAGTATTAGACTTAATATGAAATCCGATAGTATTTGTCGTTCGTATTTGTACGCACTATAAAAACAGCGATTAATTCAACAGATTCCACTTGATATATTCTTGCTTATGCTTTAGTGAATATTTATACTTCCATAAACACAAAGGCCTGTTTACACTTGCAATTTTCACTGCGATTTCTACAACGATTTGAACATGGTCCAATACCACGATACGATACGAATGGTAAATTTCATAAATCTACCATCTACCATTGGTATTGTTGTCGATTTGTGTCTGTTGTACAGTGCATCCGTACCAGTGGTACGGTTGGTAAGATAGGGTTGCGGATCGTGAAAGTAAGTTTACCATCCATAAACCGAGGGTCATGGCAGTTGGGGTACCCTTCTAAATCATGTCGAGTGGTACCAGTGGTAAGATATGGTTACGGATCGTGAAAGTAAGTTTACCATCCGTAAACCAAGGGCCATGGCAGTTGGGGTACCCTTCTAAATCATGTCGAGTGGTACCAGTGGTACCAGTGGTAAGATATGGTTACGGATCGTGCAAGTACGTTTACCATCCGTAAACCAAGGGCCATGGCAGTTGGGGTACCCTTCTAAATCATGTCGAGTGGTACCAGTGGTACCAGTGGTAAGATATGGTTGCGGATGGTGAAAGTAAGTTTACCATCCGTAAACCAAGGGCCATGGCAGTTGGGGTACCCTTCAAAATCATGTCGAGTGGTACCAGTGGTACCAGTGGTAAGATATGATTACGGATCGTGAAAGTAAGTTTACCATCCGTAAGCCGAGGGCCATGGCAGTTGGGGTACCCTTCTAAATCATGTCGAGTGGTACCAGTGGTACCAGTGGTAAGATATGGTTGCGGATGGTGAAAGTACGTTTACCATCCGTAAACCAAGGGCCATGGCAGTTTGGGTACCCTTCAAAATCATGTCGAGTGGTACCAGTGGTAACAGTGGTAAGATATGGTTACGGATCGTGAAAGTAAGTTTACCATCCGTAAAGCAAGGGCCATGGCAGTTGGGGTACCCTTCAAAATCATGTCGAGTGGTACCAGTGGTACCAGTGGTAAGATATGGTTACGGATCGTGAAAGTAAGTTTACCATCCGTAAAGCAAGGGCCATGGCAGTTGGGGTACCCTTCTAAATCATGTCGAGTGGTACCAGTGGTACCAGTGGTAAGATATGGTTACGGATGGTGAAAGTAAGTTTACCATCCGTAAAGCAAGGGCCATGGCAGTTGGGGTACCCTTCAAAATCATGTCGAGTGGTACCAGTGGTAAGATATGGTTACGGATCGTGAAAGTAAGTTTACCATCCGTAAACCAAGGGCCATGGCAGTTGGGGTACCCTTCTAAATCATGTCGAGTGGTACCAGTGGTAAGATATGGTTACGGATCGTGCAAGTACGTTTACCATCGGTAAACCAAGGGCCATGGCAGTTGGGGTACCCTTCAAAATCATGTCGAGTGGTACCAGTGGTACCAGTGGTAAGATATGGTTACGGATCGTGAAAGTACGTTTACCATCGGTAAACCAAGGGCCATGGCAGTTGGGGTACCCTTCAAAATCATGTCGAGTGGTACCAGTGGTACCAGTGGTAAGATATGGTTACGGATCGTGAAAGTAAGTTTACCATCCGTAAACCAAGGGTCATGGCAGTTGGGGGACCCTTGAAAATAATGTCAAATGGTATCAGTGGTACCACTGGTAAGATAGGGTTACGGATCGTGATCATCCCTTAATTATGTTCAAATTGTTGCTAAAATCGATATTTTGATGCGTATTAAAAGCTATATGTAATAATGCTTACATAGCCTAAAAGGATTTGAATATTAAAATTTATATAATATATATCATGATACTGTTTTTAAAGCTTTTAATACATATCACATATGTAGCTATATAATATACTTATATAGCCTAAAGCGATCAACTAATAATATTAAAATTTATATAATATATATCATGAGATAATGTTTTTAAAGCTTTTAATATATGTATATGCATACGGACACTCACACAGTTTGTAGTTCTGTCATACTATTTTGAGTCTTCGTTTTGCGACATTTACAATACAATTTTGTAGAATGAAATATAGTGGCATGGCGTTACAGTTATAGACTTCCCATTCGCAATGAATTAAGAGGGATACGCACACCAGAAATCCAGAAAAATAGATTGTTTTAAAATTTAGAATGTTTGTTTGTGCTCGGCCGGTCGACAGTCGACAGCATGGCTGTTCGTCAATAGCATTTTTACTATATGCCATATCTCAATATGCGTACTCTCGGAACCATTCGCTCGCTCGCGATAGTGAAAATTATACACGATAGGTCACTTCCGCCTCCTCTTGAGATATGTGAATTCAGATTTGATGTAAACAATGAGCAACACGATTTTTAAAGGTGATCTACAGTCCGATCTGCGCATGTGCACAAATGAGCCCACTTTTTATGATACAAACAGTTTAACTATGTTTTGAGTTCTTGAAAAGCTTGATTGTTGTTTCTTGATCAGTTATTATACTCTAGAAGCTTGAAAATATAAATAGTTGTCGAATAAAGCTCAATATTTTGGACACAAAAATGTAAACAAAGGCTTTGTTTACATACGGACTGTAGATCACCTTTAAGTTTTATATATTATTGGGCTAAAGCATATTTTCTTTCTGGCTTTCTACAAAGATATTTAGCAACTCCAGGCATTCTTTCAAGATTATGAACTTATGTATACAATATTTCATCTTTATGGCGTGTAATAAAGGACGAAACAAACTTCAATTTTCAAGACAGAATAATGGACATATATTTGGATGTAATGGTATTTCAAAGATATTTGGATGGTAAACCAAAAACTATCAAATACTTAATAGTGAGTATAAAATATATATTTAAACAATACTATAATTAATACCATATACTATAGAGTAATTAATAGCACATTAGTTTTCTTTTCGTGTAAAACTACACAATCACCACAATCCACTGCCTCCTCATCAAAGTCATTGACATTGTCAATTTATCTTCATCCATGTCTCATTGTTCTCAGAATTACTGCATTGGTTCAGTGCATTTCAGATTTGCTTTAAAACATGAGCATGTTTTTGTTTGGCAAGCCTTTTTGCATTCACAATTTCACAACTTAACAAATTTTATAAAGATGCTGGGTGCTCTGGAGCAGGGCCCCTGGGTCCCCCATGTGGGCCATGTACAGGCGTTGGAAAAAGTATCAGACCTCAGGACCAAAAATTTAGACAAAAGAGAATTTGCATGAGTCAATTCCTGGAGTAACCATACACCCCCCTCCCCCCAGGACACCCCCGGGAATTTGCCCAATAGACAGTTCACAAGGGTCAGGAATTTGCCTTTCGTATATGTGCACGGCCGAGCCGGGTATTGGAGGACCCCGGGGGTTTGACAAATGGTTGCCCAGAATCCCACCCACAAATTTTAAGGCAGCAAAACATAGTTCCAGGCAAACATGTGGGCGTGCTGATACGTATTTTGCGCCCTCGTGGTCAAGGTGGCATGAAATTTATTGTAGGAATAAATGAAAATTATATCCTGTACCATGCAAATTTAAATACAACTATTAAAGGTTTATGTTTTATAATATTCCATAGCAGTTTAATACTATAATGTTATTAAATGACTATGATTATATGTCATTAAAAGTTTAATTAACGTTTACAGTCGATTTCACGAAACTTTGACCACAAATTTTCCGAACTTTGTTGCGAAGTTCACAAGATTGTTGCGAAGTTCAAAAGTTCATAATGAGATTCACAAACCAGTTCGCAAACTACAGTACGCATTTGATTGGCTTCTTTTACTTCACGGACCAATCAGGGACTTTGTTTTCAAATTGGCTTGTGAATTCCAGTATGAGCTTCTGAACTTCGCAACGAACTTGCGAACTGCGCAACGAAGTTCAGAACATTTGTGGTCAAAGTTTCGTGAAATCAACTGTAAAATTGTCCCCGGGGTGGGGCATTTTCCACTCTCAGCTTGCCCAGGGACCGTGCATTAGTCTTCAAGTTGTGTCCCGGCACCTGGGCATTTACACTACCATAACCAATCAAATCAAATGCCCGGGTGTGTTCCCGGGGTGGGTGGGGGGATGGTTACTCCTGGAATCGACTCATGCATATTAAGTGCACCCATCTTCATTCATAGTGTATATTTTATTAGATTATAGAGTGACATAACAAATGTTGCATGGGATATTCATTTTTAGCCAATCTGGGGCACTTAATTTTTTCAAAATATTCTGGGCATTGTCTCCTTCATAGCTGCTCTTTGTGTTGAGACTTCTCCCCATGAGCAGCTTCTCACTCGAGCACACCATTCTATAAAGATGCTGTCAGTTCCAGATGGAGCAGGTCTTTGGGTCCCCCATGTACAGGGGGTGGAAAAAGTGTCAGACCACGGGACCAAAAATTTAGACTAAAGGAGAAATGCAGAGGGAAATTTGTAGGAATAAGCTCAAAAATGCGACTATAAGTGCATCCATCTTCATTCATAGTGTGATAGTGCATAAATGTATAGATTATAGAGTGACATAACAAATGTTGCATGGGATATTCATTTTTAGCCAATCTGGGGCACTTGATTTTTTCATAATATTTCATTAAAAGGGTACTTGATAGAGTTGAATGGTTATCACTGTTTAAATTTTACAGGAAAACTTTCTTACCGAGTGTAGACCCTGAACAACCAAAAAATGTCAAATTTTTAGTTTCATCTATTGAAACTTCAAGGGGAGATGCATATGACGTTTTAGGAGAGTTGCAAAACTATTTCAGGGGAGGTGCCCACCTCAAAATCCGGCTATGGAAAGCGGATTTACAATGCACAGAATTATGCCAATGTGAAAATATGGAAAGCAGAGAACTTTTGTAATATTGATACATGAGACAAAAGGAATGGAATGTTGTGCTCAAATGAGCAGCTCTTCATGGGAAGGATCCTCGACACAAAGAGCAGCTGTAAAGGAGACAATGCTCCCCAAAATATTTTGAAAACCAAGTGGCCCAGATTGGCTAAAAATGCATTTGCCAGGCAACATTTGTTACATTAATTAACATACAGTTATGAGGTGTGATATCCGGCAAAATTCATATATTCAATTATGCAATTGGAAATTGCATTTATGAAGTTGGGTTATACTATTATGATATTCGATATTATGTTATTCGAATTCATTTGGCATGAAACAGTCATAAATTATTGAAATTTCATTTGTCATGAAACAGTCATTCGGCATGGCACTCAGAAACCAAAATTCGACTTCCGGTTTGGCATGGCACTCAGAAACCAAAACTGGACTTCCGGTTTAGGGGGAAATTGTAATTCCACCATGACCGAAGTCAAAGGCAAGTTAAGTCAACAAGACAAAAATATAAGTGTTGTAGACATATTCATTTGGAAACAACTGTGTTGAGGAACTTAGACATCGGCGACCAGTATGCCCATACAGCGCAAAAAGATTTCTAAAATTCCCCAACACTCTTTCTGAATTTAATGTATTGACGGCAGTGCCACCAGATGATGTAGTAGCATGCGATTCGCTTTGAGAAATTACATTTGGATTCGCAACTTGTGCTGAAGAAACATCATTTGATGATCCAGGATATTCTCTGACCATTCTTGTTGCTTCTTGCAACAAAGAAACAGCACGCTGTTGACTTAAATTGCCTTCGCCTTCGACCATGTTGAAATTACAATTCCCCGCATGCTTTTCCCGCTACACCGGAAGTCGAATTTTGGTTTCTGAGTGCCATGCCGAATGACTATTTCAGTAATGACTGTTTCACGCCGAATGAAATTTCAATAATGACTGTTTCACGCCGAATGAAATTCGAATATCATGCATAAGGGACCGGTCATTATTTATGGCAGGGGTGGGGGCAGAAGAGAAAATGGTGGGGTAACTGAAAAATAATAGTTGCTTTAGGTGGGGTGGCCAAAAAATCCTTGCATGCAGAGGTGGGGTAAAAAAAAATTAACCTTACTTTAATCACACACAATACAATATATACTACTATCAGAATTTAATATGTGATTATTCTAATTTTTTAATAAAATATTATTGCTTTCCAAAATGTTGACAGAAACACCCCCCTCAGCCCACCCGTAAAGGGTCATTTTTATATTCATTTACACACAAAATCTCCAAAGACTCCAATTACCAGACAAAATATATACTGCCTATATATAGGGGCTGTTTATATGGCAGGGTTCGAAATAACGGTTCGTGATTCGTGAATCACGAATCAATTTTCATTTTTCACGAACCCAATTTCATAGAAATTGATCAAAATCACGAATCAAAAGTCTCTTAAATTGATAAAAATATACAATAATAAATTCAGTTCTTTGTAAATGTGATGAAGGATAGAGTTTAAGTTCCAAACCTGGCATGCATATTCAAGCACAGGTCGTATACATGTGGTATAGACTTGAATTAGAGAACTCCCTCCAAGACCGCTGCGTTTAAGCACTCGGAGAAAAAAAAGTCTCTTTGATGCCTTGTATACTATGTGTTCAACATTTGTTCTGTATAACAGCAACTTTTTCTCATTAATTTACAGTAACTTTCTAAATTCAGATATTCTCACATGGGACAAATACTTTAGTATCGTTGTATTGTTTACAAATTAAAATATTAAATTGATTTCATAAACTTCAAGAATTCCTTGGGAATGCTTAAGGAATTCCTTTAAAATTCCGTGATAATACATGTGATTGTCTATAGTAAGGAAATATTAAAGGAATTTCAGAGGACATTTTAGAATTTAGATAGTTGCAATCATGGGTGAGCACATATTTTGTGAAACTGTTTCAAAATAAAATTGCATTTCAATTAATAAAGAAATGCAAGAATGTGAAAGAAACCAAATTATATACAGTGAAACTTTAAAGTGGGAAAGAGATAGGGTGGTGAAATACGGTTAGTGTTCTAAAATATTGAAGCATATGGTTAATATATGTTTATGCATGCATGGGACTAGCATATTGCACTATCTCATGAAAAGGGAATATAGCGTTGAATACAAACTATAAGAACCCATTCATATTTAAATTTTACAAGTAGACAAATTTTAAGCCTTCAGATAACTATAATTCTTTATATAGTACCTTGCTATTGTAGGGCTAACCCATAATATAAAGGCATGACTGTTGTGTGCTTTAATTACTCCACAAGAAATAAGGGGCAAGGGATATTGGTAAACAAG